AGATAATAATTTTATACATTGCTTATTCCGTTTTCTTGTGTGCTTACAATTTTTTTTTTTGAGGATTAAGTGTGTAGAGAAATTGTTCATTGTGGATATGTTTGAAAATTTAACAAAAACTTCTTTCTCTCAATTTTTGTAGACTTTGTTGTGAAGCATAGGGCCACAACCTCAACATGCTGGGTATTGTTGGTGTGGCTTACATAGCAAGTAATTTTCTATGGGATCTAAGTTGCAAGCCTCATTCCAAACCAGCTTTGAATTCTGAGTTGTCCTTCTTCTAGATTGGTTGCAAACCAATGTTGAAGAACCCAGTTTATCCTACTATTTAACCCATAGTTGAGAGAAAAGAGGTGGAATCAAAGAATTAAATTACTACTATACTAATATTATAGGAAACAAAATAAATATATTAACAATCCTCATTACCATAAAAATTAATCCCATTGAAAATGGTTAAAGTATTAGTGAAAAACACTTGGTACAGGAAATGCTACAAACAATTTCTCCACATAATCACTCCTCCCTCATCAAAAAATTCTAAGAATATAAGAAAAACTAAATAAAATCTTACAAAATACTCCTTGTCCATCATGTTCAATGCAACATGCAGAAGAAAAGGTGTTGTGTGTCTGTACATATATAGGTGTGTGTGTGCGCATGTGTGTGTGCATGTATGTGTGTGCTTTATATATGTATTTATATGCATTATGTATATAAATTTAAATTTTATGAATGTGTGCATATATATATATATATATATATACATATATATGCAGTGGGTTTAATATATACAGATATATAAGTATGTAATGTTTTATATATATATATATATATATATATATATATATATATATATATATATAAAATATGTATTTATGAGATAAATATATATGTATGTATATATATATATATATATATATATATATATATGCATGTATTTTTTTGTATATATGTTCAACAAATGTTTTCTGCCACTGATTTGATCGATTATTGTTGAAAATTGTTTGTCAGTTCCTAATTCATTTCTTTTTTAAAACCCAACCACCCAACCCCCCACAGCCATCATTTTTACTTCCCCTTCTACTCTCCCAACACCCAATTTTTTTCATTTTTACTCATATTTTTTTTTTTTTTTTTTTTTTTACATTTTTGAGTCCTTTGTACTGTCTGCCACTGCTGCACTCACTGCTGGTGTCTCCTCATCCTCGCCACGCTTCTCTATCAACTGGTTCTGTGCAGCTGCAGTCTCCTCTGCAGCAACCTCTGCATCCTCTCCCTCAGGTCCATAGTCACACCGACTTATTAACGTCACCTTTGACATGTCCTCATTTGGCCGCAGCTGGTAAGATTTAAGCATTGGTCGTAACAAATACTCGATCCGCTGCAAATAATAAAGCAATAATAAAAAATAGTAACATTCTTTACAAAGTCCAGCACAAGAAAAACAAATATGTCTGTGCTATGAATGTAAGAGGAAGTAAAATGAAGATCATGAGCATATGAAGCATAAATAACAACTAACCCTTGATTTGAAGAGGTTAAAATTGTAGTGTTCAAGGAAATATCTATGTGTGGGTCTCTTTCACTAAGTAGTAATTCTTGAGGATAAAACTGAGTGGAACTTCTTTATAATTTGAATACGAAGGAAATGTTGGTGATTTTATTCTGTGGATGTAGCATGATAAGTATTAGCTATAAAGGTCTGAACTGGTCGAATTAAAGAATGAAGCTCATCTAAATATTTGCCATGGAAATAATGATAGAGTAGTAATGTTGCATATGTAGGAAAGAGACTGCCAAGTGGAAAATATGATACAAATATACATAAATACATACATAGATAGTGGGTTGCAATGTTTCATAAAAATTATAACAATACACAGTATTGGTAAAAATTCCTGAATAATAGAGATAATTGAAAAATAATATTGAAAATAATTCTTGGATTATATTGAGAATAATCCCATAATAATAATTTGTATTAATACGGATTGTACATTTTTATTTAAATCATAATTATTTTAATTCATGCTGTATTCTTGTTGGTGAGCATCCTTACTGGAATGTAATATTTTAAATTATTTCATTCAATTACATTTAATTAACTTCATTTAAACTTTTTATTTAAACACATGCATTTCAATTAAAATTTCCTAATTAAATTAAATTTAAAGACTAAAGATTTTACTCGTTTTTAGCAACCATTTCATTTTGATTAAAATCCCCACAGGGGTTAATTTAAATATCTTCATTACATTTAATTCATTTTGATTAAAGTGCTTTAATTAACTTTAACAAAACCAGAACTTTTACTTACTGTTTTCAGTGACCCTTTCGTCTTATAGATGTTGATCAGCATCACTGCTGGGATGAAAACAATTGATGAGCATGCCATCATCCAGCCTATGGAGACAGCCCACTGTGGATATATGTATTCAACTGTCTTCCGCTTATACGTTAAACCTGAATAGCTGATCGTACTCAAGATGAAAGTGATCTATAAAAGAAAGAGGGTGTTATGGTTAACGAGCTGGTTCAGATTACCAGCCCTTCATGCAATGCAGCAATTTTTGATCTTCACTGGTGCTCCACATGTACCAAAGCTCAACCTAAGTCAATAATAATGGCAGCCCTAGAAGTAAGGAGTGATGGTTAACTAGCTAACAGTTATTATTATTATATAGGATTTTGTTTTTGAATAGCAACTTACATGCCTGTCCTTGTACCAAAATCTAAGCTAAATTAATAATGAAGGCTGTACTGGAAGGAGAAGTTAGCTGATTAACACCTTTATATGTAGGGATTTCTTATCTTCAGTTGCTATCCATATGTTTGTCTTTGTGCCATAAACTAAGCTAAGTTTGGTAAAAAATATCTTGGAGTGAGGGTTATATTCAATGGGCTTGTTCAGGTTAATAACCCTTAATGTTATACCATAATTTTTGTCACTCATTGATGACCCACATATATGAAATAAACTCAGAAAAGTAAATAATAAAACCTGTCCTTGCTGGAGGGGTTATGGCTAACAAGACTGTTCAAGTTAACTTTTAATTTTATGCACTAACTTATGTTCTCACTAGTAATTCACATTTGTATCCTCGCATCAAAAACTAAGTCAAGTAAATAATGAAAACTTCTCCAGAGGAGTCATGGTTAAATAGTAGGGTAAACTAGGCTCTTCCATCTTGGTTGGTACTTGGTTGAAAAACTCTGAATTCACAAACCCAGGTAAACAGAACTCATTTATGTAGAGACATGTAGTTTTCTAATGCTAAGAAAATCCTAACAGAAAACCACCCCAGAGGTTGGGGATGAGACCAATCCCCTCACTCCAAAGAACAATTTGATTAGAGAAACCTCACCAAGGGGTTTCATGTACCACAATGCACCAGGTAAATAACAGACTAATATCTATATCTATTATTATAACTGTAATGTATAATGGAAGTTTTAAGACAAATGGAAACAAAAAGGTACTTATACTTCAAATCAAAAAGAGATAGTTGAAATTTCTAGGTCACATAATGAAGAAGAAAGGCTTGGAGAATTTGACACATATAATATACTGAAGGCAACAGGAGCAGAGGGAAACAGTAAGTAAATTACTTAAAAAGCTTGTATAAATGGATGAGAGAACAGGGAATGAAAAAGATAGTAAAGAAACAAACATTATCTAGAGCTGCAAAGGAAGCTTTGGAGAACCATGATCAGTCCATGTCCTGAATAAAAATGGCACATAAAAGAAGATTATATATAGTATTATATATCTTTATTATTATTTATCCAGAATTAATATATAGTATTTTATATCAATTATTATATTTATATCATATATATATATATATATATATATATATATATATATATATATATATAAAATTATATTAGACTGTAATTTATATATCATATATATATGCCTATATTAAATTGTAATTACATATATATTATATATAGTAGTGTGAGAAACACAATATATAAACTCTATATATCAGACTAATGTGTGGTAATTTAATGACAAAAATGGAAAATTCTACATAACGCAATTTTTTTTCCTTTAAAAAGGACTTTATCAGACTAAAATAATGTTCTTCTTGATAGAATTATATATATATATATATATATATATATATATATATATATATATATATATATATATATATATATTGCATATTTAGGCAGCAGTCCTTCATTTATACATATTTCATTAAAGATAACAGACAAGGTACTGCAATTAAGTTGATTTTATTTAATTTTTATTGTGTTCAAACAAGTGTTTTCTATTCTGAACACAGAGTGTATAGAAACTGTCCAAATATTCTATAATTCTGAGCACTTTTGACTATTCTTTTAGCCATTATCAAGGATGATTTTATTTTTGCTTTTTAACTGGTTGCATGGGTTGTATGTATGTTTATAGAGTTATAGGAATGTTTTATTTTCTGAATACAGCACGTTATGGCCATGTTCGTAGTTAATATTATTGAATATTGGCTTTTTCTTTTTTATTATTAAGGCTTCCATTATGTTCAATCTTTTTTTACATGTGGATGAGGTTATGTCATTATTATTTCCTACTAGTATGTTTCCAATGGAGTGTGGTAGGTTTCTATGTGTATTTAAATGGGTTCTAATGGAGCTGTGCTCAAATAGGTGTAACGTAAGGCATCTGGACAGGCATGTATTAGTGTGACCAATGTAATCATAAATAGAAATAGCAGAAATATACAAATATCATAAAGAAATACACTACTCCAATTGATTTGTACAAAAAATCCAATTAATTATCTACTACAAAAAATTTAAAACAACTAATCTTATCCTCAAAAATAACAACACACCAGCAAAATCAAAATTACGACGAATGGACATTATTTATGAATTCAAATGACCCTTAAAGAATTATGTTCCTGATCAAACTGAACTCATAAATAATTACATCAGTCATACTAGTACAGCTCCTATAACTCTAGGAACATATACACAACCATACACCCAATTTAAAATCAAAAATAACATCATCCTTGATAATAGCTAAAAGTATAGCTGAAAGCACTCAGAATTACAAAACATTTGGACAGTTTCTACACACATTTTGTCCAGAAAAGAAAACACTTATTCAAAGAGAAGAAAAATTAAATAAAAAATAAAAAGTGTGTGTGTGTGTGTAACACTCAATAACATGTGCTTACTGTGTTTGGAAAATAAAAAACATTCCTATAACTCTAGATATGTACATTAGAAAAATCTATAAATTTTGTTAAAAATAAAAATAATCATTGATAATGGCTAAAAGAATAGCCAAAAAGTGCTCAGACATGCAGAGCATTTGAACATTTTTTACATATTTTGTGTCCAGAAAAAATTTATATGAACACAAGAAAAATGAAATAAAAACTTAATCGCAGTACCTTGTCAGTCATCTTTAATGAAACTTGCCCAAATACACAATTATACATACATATATATTTTAAGACATTTTTATGTTTATACATTCTTTTTATAGATACAGATATTTAAGTAAATGCTCTGTTTATAATAAACAGTATTAAACAACATTTACCGGTCTGAATGTCCGAGAAATTTTCATAGAAAATATTCGTCCATTATTGGAGGACGAACATTTTCTATGAAAATTTCTCAGACATTCAGGCTGGTAAATGTTGTTTAATACTGTTTATTATAAACAGAGCATTTACTTAAATATTTGTATTTATAAAAAATGAATGTATAAACATAAAAATGTTGTTTTTTAAATGGATCATAATGTGATATATATATATATATATATATATATATATATATATATATATATATATATATATATATATATATATATATATATATATAGAATAGAATGTTGCTACTGACACTGGAGTTTGAACACAGATCACCAGAGAGCAAATACAGGTGATCCCATTTTGAACAAGTAGACCACATGATCATAAAGGAAATGTATAGATGGGAATTATTGTGGTGTCTAATTGAACACTTTTCTATTCTATCATCTATTACTATATGGATTACTATTTCTACACTATCCTCTATTAGTATATGAATTGCTATTCTCTATACTATTCACTATACTATTTCTCTATACTGATCACTATACAGATTATTATTCAAGCGAGTATTATTGAGCAAGTACTATTAGTGGCGAGTGTTATTTGAAGGTGTCTGACATCAGTATTGTTCAACAGTGTTACTATAGTTGTATTTGCGATTACAAAGTCTCTACTACAGCAAGCATTACAAAAGTGACAACAAGTATTCATTGACGTCACAAAAGTGGTGATGAGGATTCACAAGGATTCCTTGAAATTACAAGAGGATACATCAATTTACACATGGAAAATATTAGCAGCAACAAAAACAAGGACATGAGCAGCAATTAGAATTACAACAACAGATGTTTTTTGAGTTGTTTATCAAAATGATGGAAGGAAAAACTTCAGATTCATTCACTCCAGATGCTGTTGCTAATTCAAACAGCAAATTTGTGTACAATCCAGATGAAGGGTTAACTTTTCCAGCTTATTATAGAAGATATGAAGGGATCTTCAGAAGGAATTGTTCACATTAGAATAATAAAACCCACATATGTTCTGATATTTCAACAGGGCTAAATGAAAGTTTAAGACAACTTAACTACCGGTTACCAAGTCCAGAGGAAATTTTTGCCAAATTAAATGGTGATAATTTTTTTCTAAATTGGACCTGTCAGACACTTACCTACAAGTATTAGTGAATGAAAATTGCTCAAAATTGTTAAAAGCTTATACTCATAGAGGCTTATACAAATTCAACTGACTTCCTTTTGGTATAAAGGTAGCACCAAGCATATTCCAACAGATAATGGATATCATGCTTGCTAGTTTAGATTGTGTTCAAGCATATTTAGATGAGGGACTTATTAAAACTAAGGCCTGAAAGCAACAAACGGAAGATGTAAAAAAGTATTTGAGAGAATTAAAGGATATAGTTTTAAGATTAATGAAGGAAAATGCAAATTGTTTATGTTCAGACTTAAATATCTAGGACAAATTATTGATGAAAATGGTAGATGACCAGATCCTTCAAGGGCAAGTGCGATAAAAGACATGCCCACTCCAACAAATGTAATAAAATTACAAGCATTTTTAGGGTTTGCTAATTACTATCATACATATATACCTAATAAGTATTAATTAAAGGCACCCTTGAATAACCTGCTGAAGAAAGATGTGAAATGGAACAAAGATATCAAGAAAGTCTTAACATTGGATTTGTCACTAGCTTATTTTGACCCTAAATTAAAGATTGTAAAGATGCAAGTGATTTGGGTTTGAGAGCAGTGATACTACACAAATATGAGGACAGAACAACTAAACCAATAGCTTATGCTTCAAGATCACTAATTGCAGCTGAAAGAAGCTACAGCCATATAGAAAAGGAAGCATTGGCCATCATATTTGCTATGAAAAAGTTTCATAAATTAATACATGGTAGAGAATTCAT